TTGTTGTACTAACCACACCTATTGTTGTTGTACTGACCACATCTATCTAGTGTTGTTGTACTGACCACATCTAGTGTTGTTGTACTGACCACATCTAGTGTTGTTGTACTGACCACATCTGTTGTTGTTGTACTGACCACATCTAGTGTGGTTGTACTGACCACATCTAGTGTTGTTGTACTGATCACATCTACTGTTGTTGTACTGACCACATCTAGTGTTGTTGTACTGACCACATCTAGTGTTGTTGTACTGACCACATCTAGTGTTGTTGTACTGACCATATCTAGTGTTGTTGTACTGACACCATCTAGTGTTGTTGTACTGATCACATCTACTGTTGTTGTACTGACCACATCCAGTGTTGTTGTACTAACCACATCTAGTGTTGTTGTACTGACCACATCTAGTGTTGTTGTACTGACACCATCTAGTGTTGTACTGACCACATCTAGTGTTGTTGTACTGACACCATCTAGTGTTGTTGTACTGACCACATCTAGTGTTGTTGTACTGACACCATCTAGTGTTGTTGTACTGACCACATCTAGTGTTGTTGTACTGACCACATCTAGTGTTGTTGTACTGACACCATCTAGTGTTGTTGTACTGACCATATCTAGTGTTGTTGTACTGACCACATCTAGTGTTGTTGTACTGACCACATCTAGTGTTGTTGTACTGACCACATCTAGTGTTGTTGTACTGACCCTATCTAGTTTTGTTGTACTGACCCTATCTAGTGTTGTTGTACTGACCACATCTAGTGTTGTTGTACTGACCACATCTAGTGTTGTTGTACTGACCACATCTAGTGTTGTTGTACTGACCACATCTAGTGTTGTTGTACTGACCACATCTAGTGTTGTTGTACTGACCACATCTAGTGTTGTTGTACTGACAACATCCAGTGTTGTTGTACTCACTGGAATATGGCACGCCAACAATGAATCAGGTGACTGGTGGGCGAAATGCATCATCATCAATTGCGTGGCTTATTATAAATTTCGGGCACATCATTAACAGGGATGATGCATTTCGAATTGTCTACAATTCGGCCAACTGTAGATTACCTTAATATGCAGAAGCTTCCGCGTTTAGTCGATTGAAACCAGATCTCTGTAGGCAGAAAGAAATGGTCGTTTTCTTACGGTTACTTTGGTGAAACAGACAGTTTAGAATGTACTCGAATTTGTGTTTCGGTTTCTAGGATTCATCTTTTTGCTTCATTTTAATCAATATTTACTGTAGTGTGCGCCTGACAGATACAACGAATATGCCAGGCAATAAATTGTGCTGTCTATTGTTGTGTCTTCTTTGTTCAAATTCACTCCCCTTGTCCGATCTGACTCGTGAGTTTTGGTCACTGTCCGACAACTCAGCCCAGTCCATGCAGGACTCGTGAATACGCAATGAAGTGTTCAAATCAGTTACGATTTATCGCTGTCGTGAATTCAATAGGTTGAACCATGGGTCAGCTATCAGTCATCCCAGTACAAATTGGGAATGAAAAGAGAGTTGCCAGGGGAAATAAAAAATAGACAAGTGAAATATTTGGCCACATTAAAAGACATAACAGTATTGTAATGATCATCCTAGAGGGAAAGGTTCAAGATAGGCGAGCAAGAGGCAGACCGCTTTACAAGTGGGAGGATAACATCAAGAGATGAACGAACAGCAGTATGAGTGTGTGTACATCAAGGGCAAGAGACAGGCCTTGTTGGAGATCCATTGCAGCCAACCTTCATTGTGAAGACGGCAATGATAGATTGAGTACAAACAAAACACCGTCCCATACTGCCGAGGACTATGCCAGGTATCTCTTGTACATCCCAAAATTCTCCTTGAAGCTTTAATCTGTACGTGATCAAGTTTTGTTAGCTGACTCTTTGATACGCTAAGCATTTCAAGTCCACAAGAGCCTCGAATGCTTGAATGATGTAAGCAGTATTCTTTGTTCCATGTCCATTGCAGTCATAATCGTCAGTGCATAGAATCCTTTCTGACATCCGCATGATCCCTGGAGGACAGGCTTCTATCGAAAGTGACATCGAGGTAACTCTCATTGCTTACTCTTCTGATGTTTCTATCAATAATTGCGAGGCTTGGAACATCAGCTCTTACACAGTAACAGGAGCGTACAACAGCATTTATCTAGCTGATGACAACAGCAATTCTGTGCACATCAGTCAGACACGTTATCTGCAGTTGCCTTTAGTTCTTGTGCTGAGCGCTTTCTTTCGCTCTCCTGGCTATATCATAATCATCAGCGACCTTGACAACTGGCCTGAGCGATCATGCCTCTTCACAATCTCGGTGTTGCAACAGCGTACATAATTTCGTGTGCTGACACCCTTCCATGCCATTACTAAAGATTGTCAAGAATCTTCCCAAGTTATCTTCTTCTGTCCTGTCCCTCTTTTCATAAATCTTTCCAGTGGTCACAACATGTTAAAGTTTTTCGCTTCTCATTACATTTAAAAAAAAAAGACTATCACTTTCTGATGTCTATCATGAGCTTTCTTCGAGCACTCGCCTCTTTCACTACATCCTGGTTTGCTCTTCTTAGATATCCAATGAATTGAAATTACTTTTCTGTAAAACCACTTCCCTAAGGTATTGTTCTGTTTGTTCAATAATAGTCCAGGATTTACAGCCCAATGTTATAACAGGCTCTACACAGCATCCGATAAGTATTTTCGTAGGAAATTATACCATAGATTTTTTGCACAAAATTGCCCTCATGTTATAAGGTGAAGACAGGGATGCTTCGAGCAGAGTTGCAAGCTTTATTGGGACGGTCACATGTAGTGAGAATACTTTGGATCTTCTCTCCATTCTATGCTGGCGTGGTGGGTAATGAAAAGGCAGACAGATTGCCTGGATCTTCACCACTGGGTGGTAAAGTGTTACATGACAAGGTATATGTGGTCAAGGCCTTTTGGAAACAAGCAACGGAGTCGGAAGAGAAACAAGATTTCTATTGCCTAGAGAGAATGCAGCACCTGAGTGCAACCATAGGGTCTGGCTGGCTCACTACACTCAGGTGGGAAGACAAAGAGGGGCATATAACCAGTGTACGACCGGTACCATTAGTACTGGAACTCTGAGCTTGCTGCTGAAAAGGAGGACGAAGCATGCATGGCAATGCCACGAGTACTGTGATGTCAGTTCGTAACTCAACTCAACTCTGACTCGTGCAGCATATCCTATTGTTTATCAATAGTTTGTATTATTTTCATTGCGTTGTGTCGTTTTGCACAGCGACACTATACTATCCCTTTATTTCTTGATCCTTTTTATGTATTCCTAATTTTTACGTGATGTTCTATGGGGCTTCTTTATAGTCTTCAGTTTTATTTTAAACTTTCCTATAACCGGAACATGATCACTACAGCAGTCTGCTCCTGGTCTAGTCTTTCCTTCACTTAAACTGCTCCTGAATCTCTTTGAAATCAATATATAATCAATTTGATTGCGGACATTATCGTCTGGACACGATCGACGAGGTTGGTGTTTTAAACCAGGTTTTATCAATTATCATGTGACTCAGCCCAATCATTTATATATATATATATATGCTTTTAGACCATAGCCAACAGTACCTCCAGAAACATTTTTACTTCCAAACTTTGCACTAAAATCTTCCATATTGTTGTTACTTCAAAATTATTGCACTGATCATAAGCCGTTTCTGGGTGATTATAAACTTCATCAACGTCATCCTGTGAGATTTATGCAGCTGGTACACACACCTGTACTACGTTTATATCAAGTTGTTGCTATCATCACTGACAGCCAGCGTTCTGAAATAGTTCAATATCCTCTAACAGTTTTTGCAGGTTGTGGGTCACGCATGATATTAACAACATTTTGTATGTTCTCTCCCCCGTGAGTCCTGTTTGTATGCAAGAACATCAGCAGCAGATGTCAATACCCTTCAAACCCATGGTGCTTTAAGTTCTGCAATCTTGCTTGTAAACACATTGAGAACGCTGGTGAACTGATAAAACCCTGGGACGGTCTAGGGGCGATGTTACATAGTTCTCATGTCCGAACTCCCAGGCAAAGGGCAACTGTAGACGAATGCAGGACATCTGCTGTCCAGTTCAACAGCCACCGACAGACCCCGTCCCCATGAGCACGCCGGTGTGACGGGAAATCAACAGGCGTACATACTGGCTGGCTCTGCACAACTTGGTGAAATACCGATACATGATAAGGCAGACGTGGTTAGTGCCTTGTGGGAGAGCGTGTACAGTTTGGAGGAGCAAATGGATCACCACAGTCTGGTGAGATTGATTAAGCTGGAAGTGACGAGAGGTTCTGGTAGATGCTTGAGGCTCAGAGGAAAGGCAAGACGGACGTTTAATGAGAAAGCTACTGGCACCATTAGTATCGGAACTCTTCGCTGGCTGCTAAAGATGGGGATGGAGCGCTTATGGGAATGCCCCGACTGCTGTGATGTCGGTTCTTGAATCAAATGGAATCAAATCTTTGATTTATAATAAAATCCTGCAGCAGATGTGGTCATACCTGACTCTGTCTGGCCCCGGCGTAGTGAGTTTTGCTTTCATGCATTATATATTTTCTAGCATCCACCTCCATTGTCATCACTGGTATTCGATAGATTTCGAGTTTTTACATTTATGTACTGAGGTCCCATCCACTGGTTAAGCCACAGGTAACAAAATCACGGCTGTTGAGCCTCAACGCGCGTCCTGCACACCTTCCACACTTGTCCACACGGGCACCAGACCATGCATCCCGCACCGATTGCATGACGTCATGAGCTATCGCTGTCTTTCATAGTTGTCTACACGTCCACAGACCGACATGGTCTTTAAGACCATTCAGTGTCATGGACACATTCTAGTCCTAATCATTTCCTGATGGACTGATTTTTAATAACAGTTCTCTTACAGCTTCTACTCTCCTGAACCTGTAGGTAAGTGCTGCATCACAACCCAATTTGAGCCCGAACTCAAGGCAGAAGCGCAATGGCATCAAAAAGTAATGAATCTTTTCCACGACCATCTGAAGCTGTCCAACGGCCTGTTCCTAAGAAGCGAACGAGTCTCGAAAGAAAGAAAATCGCTTTGCAGGCAACAGTGAGACAACCACAGAGGTCATCATCGCCTCCATTGCCTTCATTCCCAGATACCTCATCTGAAATATCAAGAACCATAAACTCCTCAGCATCTTCCGGATCTTATACTATCAGTCCTGAGGCACCATCACCACTGCGGGAGTATCCAGGGCAGGGTATTGGAAGAGGTAGGTCATACGCTAAGGAATCAAGGACGCCACAGTTTGAAGCACAAGGCCCTAGAAAAAAACTAATCTACCAGCCAGAGCCTACTCCTGAACCAACCCCACTGCCTTATAGACCCGGAGAGCGACCAAAGAGACTCCTAATTCCCGACAGACGATTCTTACAGTTCGATGATGAGTCGACACCGGGAGAAGAAGGTGAGTCCAGGAAAACTCCAAGGTATGCCTACACGGACGAGAGTCGGTATAAACAGTTCAATACTGGACGGATGAAGCCGCCATGCTTTCAAATGCGAGAATCAATGTTTTTGTCAGACTCGTCGACTCCAGGAGTCGATTCATTTCAGTTCGACCCTCGTGAGGATTCTCCAATTTATCAAAATGTGCCTCCTGGTCACACACGTTTGCAGTCTGCATTCTCTAGCGACAGTTCGTACACGTCATCACCTGATTTTGATAGTACAGGGTATCGAACCCAATCACCAGTGACGCAAACAAGATACGGCAACAGACACAACGGGGTATTACCAACACGTCATCGAGCGGACAGTAGACCCTACTACTCGGAGTCTGACGAATCCAACGCTTCAGTTCCCTACATGTCTACCATTGACTCAAAACGGGGACAACCTTCGCCCGATAGACAAAACAGCAATGTTTTTGTCTTAACGGCCGGTACATTCGGCAACTTTCTTCAACTGCAGAATAAGGCAGCCGTGCTGTTTTACAACAGCGACACGAACGAGTTGGAAGTAGTGGAGGACATGGTCAGACAGTTTATGACCCAGGTAAGAAGAAAAAATATGTCTCTTTGTCCTTATGTCTTACAATTCATCGACAGTGTCTTTGTAAGGCTCTGTTTACACTAGGCAGCATGTGTTTTAGTTATGACGTTGATATCTGCTTGTATGTCTGTATTATTGGCTATCTCACAATCAGTGACCACATACATTGTCCCATAAGTTTTCATGTCCAGACTATCTGTAGTATTGATTACCCGCTAGAGTTTAAACAAGGACAAATCAACACTTCCTGTGTACTGCTCCAATGAAGAGCTATCTAAGTAGTTTTGGCGTCTAGCAAGACGTGGACTCTGTTGGTCTTTTACCGCGCCTGTGTGGTCCAGCCCTTTGACCTCTTGATGTCAGTTCATTAGATGTACTTACCCACCGCCACATTCAGCTCACGAAAGATTTGTTCACTGAGATTCCTGGGAATGTTTACTGAGATTCCTGGGAATGTTTACTGAGATTCCTGGGAATGTTTACTGAGATTCCTGGGAATGTTTACTGAGATTCCTGGGAATGTTTACTGAGATTCCTGGGAATGTTCACTGAGATTCCTGGGAATGTTTACTGAGATTCCTGGGAATGTTTACTGAGATTCCTGGGAATGTTTACTGAGATTCCTGGGAATATTTACTGAGATTCCTGGGAATGTTTACTGAGATTCCTGGGAATAATTACTGAGATTCCTGGGAATGTTTACTGAGATTCCTGGGAATGTTTACTGAGATTCCTGGGAATGTTTACTGAGATTCCTGGGAATGTTTACTGAGATTCCTGGGAATGTTTACTGAGATTCCTGGGAATGTTTACTGATGTTAGGAAGCTGATTCTTTCCCCAGCACTTTCAGTCAAAAGGTAGCTGTTTTTTGCAGGGAGACCTAGCCAATATGGTCAAGTCCAGGGAAGTTGGGTGTAGCATTTAAAGTGCACCGTTCCTGAGAAAGAAATGTGTTGATAAGTTTCATCGCAACAAGACGAGCATGAGAGAACTTCCTGCACAATGTTGAATAAGCTTGTATTCGTTTATGACTGAGAGACGGTTAGCTGGAGCATCATTGTTAATGACATACACTTGCGAGCACTTGTAGACACACTTAGAGAAACACTGGTGGACAAGCATGGAGACACACCTGAGAACCACTTGGGCATACACTTGTGGACATAACTGATGACACACCTGGGCACACACGAGGATACCATTCTGGGGACTTCAATGACACATCTGGGGACTTACTTAGACACATCAGGGGACATACTTGGACACATATGTGGACACACTTGGAAACATCTGTGCACACACTTGGACACATCTGGGGACACACTTGGACACATCTTAGGACTTACTTGGACACACTGGGGACACACTTGGACACACATGGGGACACACTTGGACACATCTGGAGACCTACTTGGACACACTAGGGACACACTTCGACACATATGTGGACACACTTAGACACATCTGGGGACACACTTGAACACATATGGGGACACTCTTGGACACATCTGAGGACACTCTTGGAAACACTAGGGACATACTTGGACACATCTGGGGACACACTTGGACACATTTGGGGACTTACTTGGACACACTGGGGACACACTTGGACACATATGGGGACACACTTGGACACATCTGGAGACCTACTTGGACACACTAGGGACACACTTCGACACATATGTGGACACACTTAGACACATCTGGGGACACACTTAAACACATATGGGGACACTCTTGGACACATCTGAGGACACTCTTGGACACATTGGGGACACACTTGGACACATCTGGGGACACACTTGGACACATCTGGGGACTTACTTGGACACACTGGGGACACACTTGGACACATCTGGGGATTTACTTGGACACACTGTGGACACACTTCGACACATATGTGGACACACTTGGACACATCTGGGGACACATTTGAACACATATGGGGACACTCTTGGACACATCTGAGGACACTCTTGGACACACTGGGGACACACTTGGACACATCTGGGGACACACTTGGACACATCTGGGAACTTACTTGGACACACTGGGGACACACTTGGACACATCTGGTGACTTACTTGGACACATTGGGGAAACACTTAGACACAACTGGGGATTTACTTGAACACACTGGGGACACATCTAGGGACTTACTTGGACACACTTGGACACACTGGGGACACACTTGGACACATCTAGTAACCTACTTGGACACATCTGGGCACACAACTGGACTCATCCTGGGACACAACTAGACACATCTGGGGACTTTCTTTGACACTCCGGAGACACACTTAGACACATAAGGGGACACACTTGGACACATCTGGGGACACACAATGACACATCTGGGGGCATACTTGGACACATTTGGGGACACACATGGAAACATCTGAGGACACACTTGAAAACTTCTGGGGACACACTTGGACACATCTGTGGTCACACTTGGACACATCTGGGGACACAAATGGACACATGTGGGACACACTTGGATACATCTGGGTACACACTTGGACACATCTGGGAACACAACTGGACACATCGTGTGGACTTACTTAGACACATCTGGGAACATACTTGGACACACCTGAAGACACACTTTGAAACACTGGGGACTAACTTGGACACATCTGGGGACACATTTGGATACACCTGGGACACACTTGGACACACTGGGGACACACTTGGACACTCTGAGGACACACTTGGACACACTGGGGACACACTTGGACATATCTGGGGACACAACAGGACACATCTGGGGACACACAATGACACATCTGGGGACTTACTTGGACACATCTGGATACACATTTGGACACACCGGGGACACACTTGGACACATCTGGGGACTTACTTGGACACATCTGGATACACACTTGGACACACCGGGGACACACTTGGACACATCTGGGGACACACTTGGACACATCTGGGGACACAACTGGACACATCTGGGGACTTACTTGGACACATCTGGATACACACTTGGACACACCGGGGACACACTTGGACACATCTGGGGACTTACTTGGACACATTGGGGACACACTTGGACACACTGGGGACACACTTGGACACACTGGGGACACACTTGGACACATCTGGGGACACACTTGGATACATTTGGGGACACACTTGGACACATCTGGGGACACACTTGGACACATCTAAGGGACACAACTGGACACATCTGGGGACTTACTTGGACACATCTGGATACACACTTGGACACACCGGGGACACACTTGGACACATCTGGGGAGTTACTTGGACACACTGGGGACACACTTGGACACACTGGGGACACACTTGGACACACTGTGGACACACTTGGACACATCTGGGGACACAGTTGGACAGATCTGGGGACACACTTGGACACACTGGGGACACACATGAAGACATATCTGGGGACACACATAAACACATCTGGAGACACACGTGTACGCATCTGGGGACACACTTGGACACACTGTGGACACATAGAGACATATCTAGGGACACATGAACACATCTGGGGACACACTTGGACACACTGTGGACACACATAGAGACATATCTGGGGACACATGAACACATCTGGGGACACACTTGGACACACTGTGGACACATGGAGACATATCTGGGGACACATGAACACATCTGGGGACACACTTAGACACACTGTGGACACACATAGAGACATATCGGGGGACACATGTACACATCTGGGGACACAACTGGGCACATCTGGGGACACACTTGGACACACTGTGGACACACATAGAGACATATCTGGGGACACATGAACACATCTGGGGACACACTTGAACACATCTGGGGACACAACTGGACACATCTGGGGACTTACTTGGACACACTGGAGACACACATGAAGACATCTGGGGACGCACTTGGACACATCTGGAGACACACTTGGACACATCTGAGGACACACTTGGACACATCTGGGGACACACTTTGACACATCTGGGGACTCACTTGGACACATCTGGGAAAACACTTGGACATACATATTTAAGTCTGATATTGCATTGGCTGTTTATTTGAATCTCGTCTACGTCAAAAGTGTCACTCTTGATTCTTTGTCTTCCTTATGTAGAACCCCATTCAGGAGAGACAGGTGTACGCCTCTGTAGACTGTGCCAACGAGTCGCAGCTGTGTGCCCGAGAAAGGGCCACTGACACTCCGTTCTTCAGGATGTATTCCAAAGGACTCATGCTTAGAGATGCCAAAGATTTTCCTACGCTCACCCAGCGGGCAACAGCAAGGTACCGCTGATTCATTTCACAGCCCTTTACAGATGGCAACGATCGTCTAGATTTTAGATGTCTTTCTCTGCTAATTCCAAGATCTGACACGTATGTGACAAATATTCTTATCCGGTGTAATCTGTTTCATGTTTATGTTGAGTGGTGTTCTTTGGAGAAAAACGGGCCATGATGCAGCAATTACTCACAAGTACAGCTATTCCGTAACAAACTACTAGAGAATTCAACTTTTACAATAGCAAGACGCCATTTCACATAAGATTTGCACTTCAATAAAAAAAATTCTGAAATTATCTAGTTGACTCAGTTGTTCTGTTGTTATTTGCTTTTACTTTGATGTCGTTAAATGTAATATGTAAAGACATGGTGTTTGCCGAGAAGCAGCTACAAGAAAACTGTCCGGTACTGTGACGGCGTTTGTTTTACGGCATTTATTGACCCGACAGTGGCGTTTGATCCAGTCATCAGAGAGGGTCTTTGGAGGATGATAGCAAAACATGGCTGCTGGTGGAAATGTATCGTGACTGGGCAACAGCTGTAGGATGGAATGCACTCTAGAATCCAGGATAGTGGAAAACTATCTGAACCTTCCTATGTCACAAACGGTGGGAAACAAGAGTCGGTTCTCTATTCAGTGTTATGTTTCTCAGCTGTACATTCTGATGTTTGTCTAGATCGGATGCAGACATTGAAATCAGCTATCGCATCGATGGACAAACTCCTCAATCTTATTCGGCTCAAAGGGAAAACTAAAGTTTAATCATGTGTTACAGGTGATCTCCTGGTCACAGACCACTGCGCTGTTGATGCTGGCTCGCAAGTGGATCTGCAGTACAGCATAGACGGATTCTCTGCGACTTGTGCCAATTTTGGGCTGACTATCAACGCGCTGAAAACCGACATCATCTACCAACCAGGACCAAGCAGGGTGTATACTGAGCCGACCATTTTGGTAAACAGCAGGAATTTAAGGGTTGTGAATAGATTCAGGTACTTCGGTAGTACACCGTTTCATAATGTCGCCATGGACGATGAGATAAAAAGCAGGATCTTTAAAGCCTTCCTTGCAAACCCTGACACCTGGGCGGCTGCTACACAACACTGCAATCGTATGGTGAACAACGACAATCTTAGATACTCCTACACAACACTGCAATTGTATGGAGAACAACGACAATCTTAGATACTCCTACACAACACTGCAATTGTATGGTGAACAACGACAATCTGGGAGGATGCTACACAACACTGCAATTGTATGGTGAACAACGACAATCTTAGATACTCCTACACAACACTGCAATTGTATGGTGAACAACGACAATCTGGGAGGATGCTACACAACACTGCAATTATACGGTGAACAAAGACAATCTCAGATACTCCTACACAACACTGCAATTATATGGTGAACAACGACAATTTGGGAGGATGCTACACAACACTGCAATTGTATGGAGAACAACGACAATCTTAGATACTCCTACACAACACTGCAATTGTATGGAGAACAACGACAATCTTGGAGACTGCTACACAACACTGCAATTGTATGGAGAACAACGACAATCTTAGATACTCCTACACAACACTGCAATTGTATGGTGAACAACGACAATCTTAGATACTCCTACACAACACTGCAATTGTATGGAGAACAACGACAATCTGGGAGGATGCTACACAACACTGCAATTGTATGGAGAACAACGACAATCTTAGATACTCCTACACAACACTGCAATTGTATGGAGAACAACGACAATTTGGGAGAATCCTACACAACACTGCAATTGTATGGAGAACAACGACAATCTGGGAGGATGCTACACAACACTGCAATTGCAATGACAACATTTTACAAAATAAGCAAAATTTTTTTGTAATCTTTGTAAACTGATGCGAGAAAGAGATTTCTTAAAAGCTATATAAATATTATATTGATATACGGATGTGAATCATGGACAGTTAGTAACATCATCAGAATACACTGGACAGATTTAAAACAAAAAAGTTATGAAGACATCTTGAAAGAAACTGACACACGAAGAGAACTGACGGCCACCGTTAGACAAAGACAGTCTACATTGTTTGATTAAGTGATGAGAAAACTGGAGAACCTCGTCACAGTAGGAAAGATTAAAGGGAGGAGAGACAGAGAGAACTGATTCTAGACTGTGTGACATCATTGTGTTGAGGACAATCTGTAGTTACTGGCAGTATCACTGACTTTCTGTTCTCAAGGAAGTGTGGTTACTTGAAATTATTTGATGCTGTTGGATTGTGATCAAGTTGGCGCGATACAGGTCTCTCATCCACCGCAGCATCATCAGTAGGTCCTCACCTGACGTGGACGGTGTCCTGGCAGGACCTCTCTTTCATCAGAGTTGATTGAAAGTACACGAGACAGAAGGTTGGTGGTAGAGTTAACTATCAACGCCACACAGCATGAACTCGAAGAAGAAAAAGTCAACGTTTTTGTTTCAACTATGCAGGTACCAGCCATAGATTTTCTCTGCCTTTGAGATTGTTGTACAGCAATATTGCTCAATCTCTCTCCCTCCACATAAGGATTGACCGCCTGCCAAGAGCACTACACAAAGCACAAACTCAGCTGCTCCAGCGACGATCTAAAAATTGCACTGGTTGATAAACAATTAAGTTCATAAACGAAAACAACCTTCTAAGACATTATTTTGGGATGTACTAGAGACACATCCTGTGGAGCAATGAGGTATCTACTTGACTTTCCAACAATGAACCAAAGGATCAGGATGTGGAGGGCTCGGGCATATCTCAAAATATGCGCTGATAAGAAACACCCACTGCATCAAGCACCTTTTAGCGAAAAGGGCGACAGACTGAAGAGGGGGAAATCGTGGCTAGGTCGGGCAGAAGATGTTATTAGGCAAATATGCAGCCTGACCGACATCATACCTGGTGCAGAATGGATACCTGTGCCTCAGGCGTTTATTTGTACATTTTCCTGTATTGTCACACTCAACAGGCGATGTAGAGAAGAGAATCCTGTTGCTGTTAATGCAGAGGTCAACGCTCTCATCGGTGAAAATTCAGACGAAGCAGATGCAATAATCTATACAGACGGATCCGTTATACGCCAAAGAAGAAGCGCATGGGCATTTACAGCCCGCTCAGCGGGCAGAACAGTCAAAGAAGCCAACGGCGCCTTCTCCATGACAACCAGCAGCATGACGATGGAGGTGATGGCAGTGACACAAGCGCTTGCCTGGCTTGAAACACAAAAATACACCCGTGTGTGTATACTCAGTGATTCAATGAGTATGATCCGGAGGGTTCAGGCAGGTTCAGTGCAAAGACAATGGCTTGAATCATTACAGAAGTCCACTGTCCGTGGAGTCACCTTTATTTTTGTTCCGGGACACGCAGGCGTCGATGGAAATGAAAGAGCTGACAGGTTGGCTGGATCCGCTATCACTACCGACGGTCAGCCTATGGATCATGCTGATATTATCAATGCCCTCAGAGAAATGGGAAGGATAGACGACTTTGGTGGCAGTGAATCCACATCACTCGCCAGAATGGCAGACTTGGGAATTAAGATCAACACAGCAAAAAACGAGACGCACACCAGCTACGCCAGAAGACTTGTTAATCAACATAGAACTGGTACTATTAGCCATCGGACGTTGGGGTTCATACTGAGGGGAGGATCTGAGCACCTATGGACATGTCCGGAGTGCAATGAGGATAACCCAACTAACTAACTAACTAACTAACTAACCTTCTAAGACGTCAAATGGGCTTGAAAGTTTTAAGGTAATCAACCCCCCCCCCCCCACCCCCCCTCCCCCCACCACTTTTGTGCCTTCCTACCCTAGTCCCTCCCAGTCCCATCTACACTCTAAGCCAGCTCTACCAGTGTCGACTATGGCCTTTACCAAAACATTGTTTGCTCGATTAAAGCACTGACATCGTCTGCTAGTGACAAGCTGCCAGTATCAAATGCACACCAAAATGAGTGCACCCTTTCGCACGGTTTTAAACCGCCATGACACGGTAACAACCTGTCGCCAGGCTCAGTCTCTACTAAGAGCAGTACGGGCCGGACACGGCTGTACTAAAACTTTTCAGTTTCACCATCTATCTCCGCTGTCATCTGATTCGTAATTTACTCTGAAGCTTGATTTACTTCACAGAATCTTTCCTGTGAACGCCGTCCACGATTTCGTCTAAATCCAGAAGAGAATTGTAATTTCAGAGGCTACTTATCAAAATGTCAGAAGAGACGCAGCTGGCAAGGAGCAAACAAGTTGGAAGGAGTTTCTGGAAACGGCTCGACTGTCTGCGATGTGTTCCAGAATCTAGATTGCCGTCCGACTCTTCTGATTACGGCAATGTGGAGATGGGCAGACGACAGCGAGGTGTCGAAAGTGTTAACATGCACGGTATTTCACGTCTAATGATGCCGGATATGAGCAGAGCAACAGGTGGTTTTAGGCGATCAACGATGATTGCAACGATGGATCTCGATAGTTCTTCAGAATCCGCGAGCAGCAACAGAAAAAGGACATCACAACAGCTTGGGTCGCCCAGCAGCTCTAGATAAATATGCCAATCGTGGCTAGCACATTAACCGGAGGTCGGCAGCAATTCCCAGCACAAGTAGACTGCACGTGTAATCAGCAGTTTCCTCGCAGCAAGAAAGTCACTTTTATTCCCTCCCACCTGTTTTGGTCAACATGTACGGTAGCTTCCCATCATGGAGTGGTCAACATGTACGGTTGCCTCCCATCCTGGAGTGCTCAACATGTACGGTTGTGTAACATCATGGAGTGCTCATCATCAAGGAAACATACAAACGATGCCTGGTATTACTAGCTGTCACACTGCCTTTCTATTCTCAAGGAAGTGTGGTCACTTGAAATTATTTGATGCTGTTGGATCGTGAGCAAGATGGTGCCGGACAGGACTGTCATCCACCGACGCATCATCACTAGGTCTTCACCTGACGTGGACGGTGTCCTGGCA